TTTTGAGCCTTGATTAAAAGTGCTGTGGGATTTCCTGGTGTTCTGAGGGCCTGGGGATTGAGGGCCACTGCCTGCCCTTTGACCTCTGGCTTCAGGCTGCTGACTCAGCCTGCTGGATGAGAAGGGAGGACAATAAACCCAACCTGAGCCTGGGGCTTCTCATGGGGACTTGAGAACAGCTGCATGGACAGGCAGAGCTGAGGGGGGCAGGAGCTTGTCACCCAGATCTGGTTCCCAAATTAAGTAATATCTCTTGATTTCTGCTCTCTATGGCTCAGGGAGCAACAGACATCCTGATTTAGAAACGGTCACTCCTGAAAATGTTCACTTATAGACTCAGTCCCCACTCGAATCCCTCCCAGTTAGCTCCAGCCTCCCTGCGGCCATTTATCAGTGTCCTTGTCTGCCAGCCTTTCCCTGAGCCCATAAAAATCAATGGCAAAGGGCGACTGGAAATCTCGCCAAGGCGGAGGATTTCACAAAGTTAGTGGAAGTGACGATGAGAACTGCCACTACCACACACACAGCCACTGACAAATGAGGATCTCACAAAAAAAGTCAACTAGGATGAGGACACGTGAGACCCTGGGGATATGTGGGACCCACACGTCTCTAAAACCACTCCTTTGATAGTCATGCTGTGAAGTACAAACATGAAGCAAAGAAGGTTATGTTCACATACTTCAATTTTAGTCCATTCATTTAATCCCTCTTTGTTCCAAAAATTAGGACATAAATGCATCTAACCTAAGTTTTGATAAAAATATGACAGTTGAATGCATTTGATATTTACAAGTTTTAATCGTTTTTATTTATTTTTAACTTTTTATTTTTAAATAATCATAGATTCACAGGAAGCTGCAAAAGTAGTGTAGAGAAGGGTACAGAAGATTGGATCCTTTACCCAAAGGCTGGCTACATTTTACATAAGAATAGTACAATATCAAAAGCAGGCATTTTCATTGGTAAAATGTGGATCTATCATCTTGTGTTGTCTTATCACCTGCATAGAGTCACGTAACCACTGAATCAAGATACTGTAATATTTCATCGCCACAACCATCTCTCACCTGCTGCCCCTTGATAACAGTGTCCACCCCCTCTCCCCAACCCTTAGCAACTCCTCCTCTGTTTTCCATTCCTATAACTTTGTCATTTCAGAATGTCATTTAAATGGAACCCTATAGTACATGACCTTTTCGGACGGGCTTTTTGGGTCAGTATAATGCCCTGGAGATCCTTCCAAGTTGTCGCGTGTATCAGCAGGTCATCTCTTTTTGTTGCCGAGCTGTATTCCACAGTATGGATGTGCCATAGTTTGTTTAACCTGTCGAGGGACATTTTAGTTGTTTCTAGTTTGAGGCTATTACAGACTAAGCTATTATGGATGTTCGTGTACAGGTTTTTGTACAGACACAAGTTTTCATTTCTTTGGAGTAAATGTCCAGGAGTACAATTGCTAGGTTGTATGATAAATAAAATTTAAAATTTTTAACTTTTTAAGTCAAGTTTTGAGAATTCTTTATTCTAAAGTCCTTCTTTAGATATGTGATTTGTAAATATTTCCTCCAAGAGTGTAGCTAGCTTCTCTTTACATCTTATTAAAAGGATCTCTTGCAGAGCAAATGTTTTAATTTTGATGGGGTCAGATTTATTGATTTTATTTTTCTTTTGTGGGTCATGCTTTGCTGTCCTAAGAAATTTCACCAAGCCCTAGTTTCTAAAGATTTTCTCCTTTATTTTCTTCTAAAACCATTATAGTTTTATGTTTTACATTGAAATTTATGATGAATTTGAGTTAATTTTTGTATAAGATGTGTGGTCGAAATTCATCATTTTACCTTTGGATGTTCACTTGCTCCCACACCATTTATTGAAAAGACTATTCTTTCTCCAGTGAACTTTCTTTATACCTTTATATAAAAGCAGTTGGCCCTACTTGTGTGAGGCTATTGCTGGATTCTCTATTCTGTTGCATTGATCCATGTGTCTGTCTATCTGCCAATACCTTACTATTGATTACTGTAGCTATATAATAAGTCTTGAAATTTGTTTGAATGTTTCCTCTCACTTTATTCCTTTTGTCAGGATAGTTTTAGCTATGCTAGTTTCTTTGTCTTTTCACATAAAGTTCAGATTAATCTCGCCTATATCTAGAAAACATCTTGTAGAGATTTTGATAGAAATTGCATTAAATCTGTATATCAATTTGAGGACATTCTAATCTATGAATACAAAATCTCTCCATTTATTTAGATAATCTTTGATATCTTTTATCAGTGTTTTGTAATTTTCAGCATACAATTTCTATACGCATTTTGTTAGATTTTCACTTAAGTTGTTTTTTGAGTCATTGTGAGTGTATTATATTTTTAATTTGTTTCCACATGTCTATTGTTAGTATACAGAAGTACATTTGATTTTTGTATATCGACCTTGTATCCTGTGACTTGCTGAACTTACTTATTAGTTCTAGGAGTTTACTTGTAGATTCCTTGTAATTTTCTAGTAGACCATCCTGTCACTGGCAAATAGGGGCCATTTTATTTCTTCTTTTCAAATTTGTGTGTATTTTATCTCCTTTTCTTGCCTTATTGCTCTGGCTAGTTCTTCCAGTACTATGTTTAATACTAGTGGTGAGTTCAGACATTTTGCCTTGTTCTGGGTCTTAGGGAGAAAGCATTTATACTTCTAGCTCAGTTTTCTTTCAAGACAAACATCACACCAAGCCCCCTTTTACCCATTGCTCACTATTGCTGTGAAATCTATCTTCTATTTTTAAGTGAATTTTAAAAGTCTTTTCCTGATACCAATTTGTCTTGGAAAATTGAGGGCTTCTTTTCTGTATACTACTCCTTCCCCATTTTCATGGTTTTCAGGGGCCTGGACTCTGACGCCCCCTAGTGGTGTCAAGAAGCCATGTCGCCTCTTGGCCCCGGCAGAGAAGTGTGTTCTGGAGGTGGGGTGGGTCCCAGGGACCATTCTATCCTCCTTTCTCTATCCTTGAGCGGCCCCAGGGGCTGGCTGACCCCCTCCCTCCTCCTCTGGTGTCTGCAGATGGAGGTCTCGGGCCCCTCGCCGGGCCAGATGGTAGCACCTGTGTCCCAGAACAGCCTGGGCGCGCGGCGTGCGGAGATCAAGCCAGGGGTGCGAGAGATCCACCTGTGCAAGGATGAGCGTGGCAAGACGGGGCTGCGGCTGCGGGCCATCGACAAGGTGGGGCTAAGGGCTGGGCAAGAGAGGAGGGGCCTCTCGGAGGGTGACGTGCATACTGGAAGCGCCTGTCCATCCTGTCCGCGGTCCTAAGCCTCTGGAGTCCCGCTGCTCTGAGTGCCCTCAGGGCTTTGGCTGTACCGCGGGGTGGCGTGGGGGATGGGGGCTGTCCACAGTGAGGAATGCGCGGAGCCAGCTGGGACGAGGCCCACCTAAACCCAGGCTCTTCCTCTCAATACCCTCCCCCAAGACCACAGGGCTGGCGCTGGCTCTGTGTTGCTGCAGGGACCAGACACCTGCCCCTCCATGGGCTCCTGTCACTCAGAGCCTCCCTTCCCCCTGTCCTCCAAGTCAAAGGGATCTGGCTGCCAGGCCGCTGTCTGTAGACAGTGGAAGCTAGGGCCTCGAAGCCACTGCGAGAGGCGGTGTAGTCCAGGGGTTGGGGGTATAGGCTCCAGCCAGGATTGAAATCCTGACTCAGCTGCTCCCTGAGCATTGTGGCCTGGAGTGTTTTCATCCCAGAGAAATGGGGTAACCCTTGTGCCTGCTGGGAGAGCTGCAGTCCCAGTACCCTGTAGGACTGGGGAGGACCAGGAGGAAAACAAACAGCTTGGAGGAGGCCCCTGGGCTCAGGGTGAGGGGAACTGACTGGGGCCCTACTTCTCCCAGGGGCTCTTTGTGCAGTTGGTCCAGGCCAATACCCCTGCGTCCCTTGTGGGGCTGCGCTTTGGGGACCAGATCCTGCAGATCGATGGGCGTGACTGTGCCGGGTGGAGCACAGACAAAGCCCACCGAGTGGTGAAGAGGGCATCGGCCGAGAAGATCATCATGGTGGTTCGGGACAGGTGAGTAGCCAGCCCCAGAAGCCTCCCTGTCCACCCCTAGTCAAACCCTGGGCCCAGTTAACTGTCCCTTCCTCTCAGGCCATTCCAGCGGACTGTCACCATGCACAAGGACAGCAAGGGCCACATTGGCTTTGTCATCAAGAAGGGGAAGGTGGTCTCTGTGGTCAAAGGGAGTTCTGCAGCCCGCAACGGGCTCGTCACCAACCATTACATGTGTGAAGTGAACGGGCAGAATGTCATTGGGCTGAAGGTAGGTGGCGGCCAGCTCCGCCTTGGAACTTTAGGAGTAGGCAGCTGCTGGGTGAGGGGAGGGTCCCTGTCTGCAGGCAGGCGGCTGCCCCCGTCTGAACCTCAGTTTCCTCACCCTAAGGTTGCTGCGAGGATTCAATAAGACAAGGTACATGGAGCTCTGAGCACAGTGCCAGGCACATAGTAAGTGCTCAATACATATTATCTATTAATACTAACACATCGAGGGCAGAGGTGTGACGGCATGTGTGAGGACACAGGTGCCCAGGTAGCTACTGGCTATATGGACACCTCCCTACTCTGGGCGGCACTTCTGTCTGCATCCTGGATCCCATTCAGTAATAGGAGTATTTTAGAAAATTGCTTTTCAGAAATCCATTTCTGACCTATGTTGATTTTTTGAGGGTGTGTGTAGCAAGTTTTACCGTTGAAAAACAAGAAGGAGCAAGTGGTCTAGAGTCAGTGCTATGGACGTGGACTGAGGGATGGGTGCCTTCAGGGAATGGACCATGGAGGATGAAGAAGCAGGTGGCTTTTGGTCTCTGAACAGTGAAAGTGGTTTTATCCTGACTTGATGTCACCTGGACTGAGAGTGGCTCAATCCCAATTGTGATTTAGAGTGAGGGTTCTTCTCGTCCTGCAGTCAGGGCTTTGGTCTCACGTGGCAGGGCTCCCCCTGCAGAAGTGGCGTGGGTGGTGGCACTCACTCCATAGCTGGTGCAGTCTTTTAAGCCAGTTCTCCACCCCTCACAAGAGCCATCACCAAGCCATCCCTGCTACATAACTGCTTCCCTGTGCTTGACAGCCTCCCCTACCCTCCCTGGAGGCTCGTTCTGGTGGCTCGTGAGCATTGTGATCAGGAGGTTCTTCCAAATACCTGTCTAGGGTCACTCCTGCTGCATCCTTCCCATCCCTCAGGGATCAGGCATGACAGTCCAAAGGGAACGCACTATACCGAGAAAGTTGAGTACACGAATACCAGTTCTGAGTAGCTGGCTCTTTCAGATATTAGTGAATTCACTCCTTTCAAAGCATCCCAGTTCTTTAACTGTTCTCGAGAGCAGTCATTCTATATGTGGTGCAGACCTTTCATCCTCCCTAAAGGCTCAAGGCTTCATTATGGACTTACCAGTTCATTACGGACTTACTCCTGTCAAAGCATGGTGTTGCGAGGCTCTTTGGACTGGGCTTGTCCCTTTTCTGAATGGTTCCAGATAGCTACGCTTCTTGAGATTATTTATCTTTTCAAAGTTTTTCTATTTTCGCCCTGTGGCCATCACTAGTCCTATCTAGCACTTCTCCCATTTATCCGGGAACAACTAAGAAAACAAAAAGCAAGTTAGAGATATGAGTAAAGTCAAGGCCACCTGTCTCTGAGTAAAGGCCAGAGGCTCTTCTGTTGCCATAGCTTTAGCTTTTGGACTGTTTGGCACACTTTGCATAGACTTATCATTTCTCCCCAGGATCTCAATGGCTTCTGCAGGTCTTGCTCTTTTTACTTGCCAGCAAAATGTAAGAGAGAGGTGTCCCATGTGGGCTTGCCTCAGGCTGGCTGGCCAACAGGAGCCCAGCAGGTGGTGGGTATGCCCAATGTCCCCCACTGCGCTGTCATTCTCTTCCTGCTTTGGAGCCAGGACCCGAGTGTGACTGGGGCCAGGGAGATGGGATAGAACATGTGGGCTTGGTGAGACTCTGGGGCTCTGTGGAGGAAGGAAGGGGAGTAGCGTGCGTGAGGCCCTATTATGTTTCGGGCCCACATAACTGGCCCTCGAAGTGAGATGGGGGCGGCGTGCTCATTTTACCAAGGAGATCCTCAGAGCCCACATTCTTGCTCAAGCAAGGCCTCACCGGGGTGTCTGCCTGGGACCCTCACTTAAGGGGCCGCCCTGCCTCTGCAGTCAGGTGTTAGCAGCATCCTCTCGCAGGGGCCATGCTGACTCCTCCACAGAGGTCCCCCACAAGACGATATAAAGAAAACAGGCTTGCTTGCCTCCTCTCCAGGACAAAGAGGTCACAGAGATTCTGGCCAAGGCTGGGAATGTTGTCACCCTGACCATCATCCCCACCGTGATCTTCGAGCACATGGTCAAAAAGTAAGGCTGCTCCCTTCCTTCCTTCCTGCTTACCTCCCACCTCCCCACTGCCCCAGGTCCTCAAGGCTCACGCAGGGCACAGCCTAGCCTGCCCTTCCCTCCCCTCTCCTCCCTTCAAGGTGGCTGGTGACTTCTGATGATTTGAAAGTCTTAGAGATAAAAGTAAAGGCCCGCATGGGATGCAGTCCGCGGACAGGTGGGGGTGGCGTGGAGGCACTGCCGGTTTTGGCCACTGTCATCGTTGCTGTATCTAGGTTGTCTCCGACCCTGCTCCACCACACCATGGACCACTCCATCCCAGATGTCTGAAGCCACAAGAGGGCAGGCAGCTCAGCCCTCCCGCCCTCCTGCAGGAAAGGAAGGCTCTTCAAGGATGATGGGTGGCAGAGGCCTGCTGCCTGGGGGCAGGGATGTCTTGACAGGGGCGTGTTCCAGGTGGGGTGACATCAGACCATGTCTGTCATTTATAACACAGGCCTCCTTTATGCCTCAGACTCTTAACTGGACTAAGGCAGGGGCAAGGCCCACAGGCAGCGGATTCTCTGTGCTGGTTTAAATGCTGGACACGTAGGCGGGCCGGCTGAACACTGCCTGAGGTTGCAGCTGGGTCCCTTTTCAAGATTTTGTCCTTACCAGAAAAACAGTTATGTTTTGAAAGAACGGAAATACCTTTGTGAGAATTTTTTCTTTTTCCTTTACTTGATCTTTGTCACGAACTGTATATAGTTGTAACCCGTCCCTGTCTTTTGAATAAAGATTTGATTTTAAATAAAATTCCTTCCTCAAAAAAGTAATTGAAAACTCCAGAATTTCAATCCCATGACATGCCAGGGCCGGTTTTCTTTTAAGCAGTCATGAGACCAAGGCCTTTTCTACACATTGCCTCTGAGAGCAGTGATTTGGCTCTGCCACCGTCACATGCTGCCTGCGGAGGCAGGAATGACTGGAGTGGGAACCAGCGTGAGACTCTGGAAGAGGGGCGTTGGCTTTGGAGCGTCCCCTGCTCAGTGGCCTTGGACTGTTTCTGCATGTGCAGAATAGGCATGGGAACTACCCCAGGGGTGCTGGAGAGGAGGGAGTGCAACAGGGTCTAACACTCAGGGGGACCAAAGGGAGGTGCCTCCAGATCCTTTCTCTGACTCCCAGGAGGGGCATGGGTCCCAGCTGCCCACAGTGGCTGCAGGGCAGAGCTGAACCAGCATGCAGCCATCTCATTCCCTTGACCTTGGAAAAGAGCTCTGCTACTCAGCTTTCTCTAGTGCGCACGTTATGCCTCCCATAGGCAGGCAGGGACAGTTTGAGCCATTTTCACTCCAGCCCCCTGCCCCAAGATGATATAAAGAAAACAGGCTTAGGGTCTTGTGTGTTTTCATGCTTTAATCCAGAGCTGTCTGCTGCGGGCACAACTCTGTCTGAACAAAAGGACAAAGGAGACAAAAGTGAAGACCCCTCCCTCCCACCTCCCTCCTTCCCGGATCCCCTGGATTCTGTCAAGGGGATGGCCGAATATCAGAGTGCACTGCGACTTGTTTGCACTGTGCTCCTAGGTCGGAGAGGGGATTTGAGTTCACTGGGCAGAGGCCCCTTGGTAGACCTTTGCCCCAGAACCTTGTCATTTGCCCACCCCTCCCCAAGGCGCTGTCAGATACCCCTGTGCTAGTGGCGACTGGGAAGGGCGTTCAACGAAAAGCTAAATTATCCCCTTGGGAGATATTCTGTAAACTCCGCTTGAGGCCAGCTCTGTGTGCAGAGTCCTGGCCCCCGACTGTTTCCTGCCTGAGCCTGGATTAGAGGAGCAGCAGGGCCACTCTGGCCTGGCCCCACAACTGAGAAGCCACGTCTGGCTGCTGGGCTCCAAGGGACCAGCAGTTCCAGAAGGTGGTTCCTGGGAACACTGTCCCTTAGAATCTAATCAGCTCCGGCCAGAGGCTGGGGAGAAGAGAGCCCCCAAAGATTTCTGCTCCAGAAGCTGAGGGCAGGAGGGAAAGTTCGCAGCCCAACAGGAGGTATTAAGCAGGTATTTGGAGGACGAGCACTCAACAGTCCCGGCCCCTGGCCTTGCCCTCCAGCCCCACATTCTGTGCCCTGCATAGTCAGGGGGCACAGGCCGCTGTGCCTCCACCACCTGGAGCCGCACAGGCAGCGCTGCACCTTTTGCATAGATGCGGACACTGAGCACACACACCACACACACACGGGCCCCACGAGACCACCGACCAACGCGGTCCCGGGGTCTGTCCCAGGGCTGGCCAGTGAGCCGCCCTCCACTGACATGAAGAAAAGCCTGTCGAAGGTCCTGCCAGACGCCCCAAAAGAGAGGACCTTCAACACTGTGGGCAAGGCGCAGGCAGGGCTCCGGCCAGAGCAGGCACAGAGGGCGGCGGCGAGCCCTACTCACCTCATCCGGAGGCCCCGGGTCTGGGCCCAGGCCAGCCCTTCACCAGCGTCTTCTCCAGCAGCAGGGACAGTGTGGACTATGGCCCCAGCACTGACCACATCCACCGAAACACAAGACACAGTAGGAAGGCCACAGACAGCAAATCACAGACAGGAGCAGAGGGGCTATGCAGCTCCACTAAATTCCAGTGGTGAAAAATATATAGATTTTATGTTGTCAGATAGAGTCATTTATTTTTTTTTTCGGCAAAGCTTCGACTATTTCTAAGGAGACTCTACGCAGCTCTGTGAGTACACGGCACAGGAGGCTGGGTCCATGGCCAGTCCCGGCTTGGCTTTGGATTGGGTTCGTCCACTGCCCCTCCATGTCACGACCCCAGTGTCCTAGGGTAGCCCCGGCCAGGCCCCAGGAGTTTGGGTTTGGGTCGGCTGGAGTGGGGCGTGCTCCATGAAGGATGGCTGGTCTGAGGCCCCGACTGAGGTGGGGGAGCTTTGGAGGCACGAAGCGCGGCAGAGGGGGCTGTCGCCCCCATGGCTAGGCTGGCCGCCCACTCCCAGTGCATGCAGGTCCCCCCACCCTCGAGTAGAGGGCATGGAGGGGAAGGGCGGAGCCCACAAGTCAGGCAATGGCTGTCAGAGCAGCACAGGTGGGCAAGCAACCTTGGCAGAGAACCAGAGTGTCCCTTAGGCCAGCGGGGTGAGTAGAACATAGGGTCCCATCAATTCCCCTAAATGGGGGGCCCAACTCTGAAGAGGGGGTGGGACCAGATGGGTGTATGCCCTGCAGGCAAGGAGGAGCAGGTTTACTTTGTAAAGTAATAATGGTAATAAAAATGTCAGCAGCTTTGCTGGGGTCCCAGATGTGGTCCCAGGGAAGAAGTGGGAACAGAGACCCTTCTCAGGCCATCTGGGCTGGGGCTGGGGCTGGGAGCAGGGAGGCTGCAGGGTTCCCACCGGCCCTGCCCAGCCCCCACGCAGCAAACATCCCAGGGTACCCTGCTTTGGCCTGATGACAACATGGCTTCGGTACCCCTGTCTTGTCATTCCTCCTGCTGGAATCCCCCACCAGACAGATAGGTTTAAGATTCAGGAACCCTCACCCTAGAAAGCAAGCAGCCACTTCACAGGAGATCCTGGGATACATGAGAACCAAGCCCCAAAGTGTACAAAGTGCAAAACGGAAGTTGGGCTGAGGTCCCCAGGGAAACTCAGGGTGAGCTTCAGGAGCTATCACAGCTTCCGGCTTTTCACACCTGCTGAGGGCTGCTGAGTCCAGCCCTGCCTCCCAGGGCCTCATCTCAGAAGGCTGCAGGCACCCCCTGCGCTGGCAGTCCCTGCCTCCTCCTCTTGTGCTGGCGGACTCTCTGGAGGGGAGCATTCCTACCCCTACGATGAGTCCGCCTGGCTTAGCTCTCACAGGAAGAATTATCTGACATACCCAGAAGCGCCAGGAGGAAAATGGATCGTGGGGAAGGTCCAGGATGAACAGACAGATACGGAACCCACACTGCCCTCTGCCACCTCTTGCCCATCATCGCCTTTCTTCCAGCCCGTGACCTTGATTATACTCCTGCATCCCAAAGTGGGCAGCAGCCTGAGGAAGCTGGAGCTCCAGCCCTGGCCCAGTGATTCCAGACCCTGCTTGGAGTTCTGGGTCAGGTGCCTGTACTTTGGGCTGCAGCTGCCTCCATGTGAGGAGATAATACTGGTCCAGAAGCCGGGCTGAGAGCAAGGGGTGGCTTGGGAGAGAAGGCATGGAGTGAACAGGGAACTGGAAAGGGCGTAGAGGGGTGTGGGGTGAGGAGGCTACAGTAGGCGACTTGGGCCCAGCCTCCCCACATCAATACACCAGAGACTTCCTGAGCAGGGGCTGCCCTTGTGAAGGGCCAGGTGGATGGGGACTGGGGTGAGGACCTCGCCGCCTTCCCTCGCTGCAGTCCACCCAGCCAGTGCTCCTCCCCGCCCTTGGTCTCTCTTCTCTCCTCTCCTGTCCAAGCTTTGAGATGCCCTTTCTCAACCCCAACTCCCGGCCCCCTTGACACTGACCATTCTGAAAAAAACCACTTCCAAACCCAAAACTAAATAAATAAGATGATGCTCCGCGAGCGGGAGGACGGCACCCCTACAATCGGTGGTCAGGCTGCCGGAGCCGCTGGCCGGGATGGGCCTCCTCAGAGCTGGGAGCCGCCGCCTGCCGTACTCGGGCCCTGCTGGCTCAGGGAGCGGCAGCTGATCCTGCGGATGGAGTGCAAGGCCACAGTGCAGCAGCCCCGCAGCAGGGAGCTGATGTTGTAAATGGGCTGGCCCTGGCGCCGCTGGGAGCGGCAGAGCCAGGCCACCGTGGGCACGGCCGGCACCACCACAGCCAGCAGATCCACAATGTAGTGGCGGCTCCAGTAGCTCTTGGGCTCCTTCTCGGCAGCGGCTGCCTCCTCCTCCTCTTCCACAGGGCACGCCACACTCACCGATGGGTTGGGGTTGGCACCAGGCCGGTATGGGGTAGGCCCACGGGTGATAGGCTCTGGGACCTCAAGCTCATCACCCACTGTCACCACCACTGCTGAGTTGGGGTCTCTGGGCCCTGTGGGGTGGGCATCCAGCTCCGGACACCTGTCTGCTGACTCAGGGACTGTCCCACAGACCTGGGCCTTGGTCACCTTCTCTAGGATGGTGTCCAGGTCAGGCTGGTATTGCACGAAGTCTGTCTGGATGGCACGCTCCTGCATGCAGCTGGCCTGCACGCCAGCTTCCATGCCACATAGCAGCTTCTCGTAGGTGTTGCTGGCAGGGAAGCGGGGGCCCAGGCTGAAGGAGCTGTGCAGTGAGGCCTCCTCAGGGCCACAGTCCACCCCCGATGACAGCAGGCTGCTGGCCTCCAGCGCATCCGTCCGGCTCATTGTGTCGTCATTTGCCACGAAGCCACTATCAGCCCCATCCTCGGCAGAGGAGGCAGGATGGTCCCCAGGGGGGAGGTCGCCACAGACAGCTGGGTCACTCAGCTTGGTATAGGTGGAGCTTCGGGTGAGGGAGCGGGCGGGAGACCCGCCAGCTGACTCCCCAGTGCCATCTTCCTTGGCTGTGCCATTCTGGGCCACTTCCATGCTGTGTAGCAGTGTCTCCAGCTTCTTGTTCTGGATGTTGATGTCCACGAAGTACTTTTGCAGCCCTTTGTCCTTGTCAATCAGGTTGTTTTTGACAGTGTCGATTACCTGCTTGAGTTGCTTAATCTCCTTGCGGGCCTCCTTCAAGGCCAGCTGAGCCTCCACACGGTGACACTCCTCCTCGATCCAGTCCTCCTGCATGCGTGACAGCTGTGTCTTAAGGTCATCAATC